ACTGTTAATTCCATCCCCCTCCCCCCCATAGTTTCCCAGTACCGTCAGTCATTTTCTTATAGTATTGCATTGGATGTTCAAGGTCCATTATATGAGTGAGAACATGTGATATTTGGATCTTTGAGAGGTCACTCAGTATTATAGACTCTAGTTCCATCCAGGTTGCAGCGAAATTCATGATTTTGTTCTTTTTTATGGCTGCGTAGTATTCCACTGTGTATATGTACCACATTTTTTAAATCCAGTCCTCTTTTGATGGGCAGCATGGTTGTTTCCAGGTTCTTGCTATTGTGAACAACGCTGCGATAAACATACATGTGCAGGTATCTTTTTTATAGAGTGATTTGTGTTACTAGTGCAACCTCTGTGGAAAGCAGTGTGGTGATTCCTAAAAGCTCTAAAAACAGTCTATTATTTTATTGAGTGAGGAAAATGTAGGGGTATAGGCCATAGCATAGTTAGGGACACTTGGAACACTAGCAGGACTTCTCTGGAAATAAAACCAGCTGGATCAATATTAAATCTTTATGTGGCTGGTGTTCCCTGTATCCTTATGACAAGTTGGCTTTCAGGTCAACTGAAGTTGGAGAGTTTTCTAGATGATGCTAACTGCAAAGCCCAGTGCCTTGCAAAGAGACTTACCTTTGTGATTAACCATGTGTTTTAGAGCACTAAAACTTGTAGAATCCCATGCTAGAGAAAGTGAATGCAGAGAAAGAGCAGAGCATGACATTAAGCCAACTTCTGCCTCTAGTTACAATCTTGTATGATTATAGTATCTGGTCAGCGGAGAGTCACAGCTGAGATTGGCAGGAATGTGTTGTTTGTTCCATCGCTGGACATAATAGCGAGGCTCCCCCACCCCTCAAATCCTTTCGTCCAGATCCAGGCTCTCCTCACATGACTTCAGGTTTGGGGGTAACCTTTTAATCAATACTTGTTTCTTTAACTGTAGATCATTTTAAGCAGCCCTGGTCACCAGTGTGGTATTTTATTATAAGAAAAAAACATCTCCCTCTGGCTATCATCCAGAAAACTGGGTATCAAGGAAGGAAACCCACCCAGGCTAAAGTTGGAAAGTGGCCCCCTCTGTCACAGATATCATTATCTCACTGGGCTGAAGTTTTCTTTTCTT